CAGAGACAGAAATACAGAAGGTCTTAGTCAATTGTTCAAAACACACAAGCAGTTAATAGATGAAGGACTGTGGTCCCAGGGTTTACACTGCCCACCCTACCCCACCCTGTGCAGGCAGCCAATGACTTCCCATCAGCAGTAATGGACCTTGACCAAGCCTCATAAATAATTACCATCAACTGGCCTTGTCTGAACAGCCACATACACCCAGTGGCAGCTGTGGATAGACGGTTGGATGGATGGAGGTCAGGTCCAGTCAGTAGCTACTTGCAAAGAAGGTTGATTATTACTGAACCTCCTCATTCCTCAGCAACAGCTAAACACTGAAGTGTTTTACTTTACGAAGATCAGAATAAAATGATAAAACTGATGTTATGTCATAACCTTTTATATTTAAGCCTTCACATTATCAAGAGGAGGGTTGATATGAAATAAGCCCAAACAAACATCTATCCTAGATTTCTATTGAAGAATAAGAAACTAACCTCTCTGCAAAGCTGTTTGCCTTCCAAACCTATTTTTACAGACGCAAAAGTGCTTGTTTAAATTCTTACTGACATCCTTTCCTGGACAAATTATTACCACTGCACATTGATTCAAAATTTTCTTGTTAGATTTTATTTCTTGGTCCTTTTAAAGTGTCTTAATTCTGGCATTTACTGGGAGAAGTATGACGGCCCTTCGCTGTCCACACGGAATCATTACCGAAGACATAATTTTCCAATCTAGGAACTTCATAACTCATTTACTAGAAAATAGGTTTACTCTTAAATGAGCTATGTTGTAAAAAGTCTATGCTAAACATCTGTACTTTTAAAATCAGAACATTTAATGTGAAACGTTTAGAAAGCTAGCATGCTGGCCAGACAAACATCTCTTAATCTGTTGTTCTATCTAGCTTCATTACCTAAGCTTTTGTCTGTTGAGGAAAAAGTCTGAATATGATATAATCCGATATCATGACGTTCTCCATTTTAAAACAAAAACTAGAGAACATTTTGAAGTCAAAACAAAATAATGTCCACCATTTTTTCATGTATCAGCTGGTATGCAAATACATTCCTCTACTTGGCTGTCTGAAATGCAAATTCCTGAAATTCTCATGATTACAGACACATTTTGATGGGATGACAACCAAAGATATAAACGATCAAATTTGAGAAAATATATATAATTAGTTTAGCTGCTCCTGTTTCAGGGTGCCAGTACCATGTATGTCCAGTGGCTGTCATACTTTCATATTTTACTGAAATGATTGAATACAAAAGAGTCACAGTTATGAAAACCTGCTCTTTTCCAACTACAATAAGTCAAAATGTGTGAGTGGAAAAAAAAATCTGCATACAATGTTTGTGTTTTGTTTTTTTTAAGCTATTCAAGCTATACAGATAATATATGTATACAGAAGAATGTGGTAACTTAACTACAGAGCACAAGAAATATACAAGAAGTATACATCAGTGTTTTCAGCCTCTGCTTTATCGAGTTTTTCAAGAAAAGATTGACTGCTGGGAAGCATAATACCACTAAAATCCAAGTGGAACCCAAGCAGCATATCAACTGGTGATAGTGGCCAAAAGTGATCCCTCAGAGACACGTCAGCATCAGTGCAATTGTTGTCCCATAGACAATACGTACAACTTTAATCCAGGTAAAAGATATACTAGGGTTGAAGGCAGCAATTGCAGAGTTAGTCATAATGAAGCACCCAGCAGCTCCTTCATGTGAAGTCTGTGGAATGCATTCCCCTTTTCAATAACTCTAAAACAGTATAGGTTTATACCTTATATTCAAATATATTGGCCAAAATACAGGGCGTGATTGCACACGTTTTATTACTAGTTTACAAGCGCATGGTCATTTGTGTGCATTTGAAATGCTGTGTATTTTAATGTACATGATGAAATCTTCTAAACTGAGAATCCTGAATGACCTCCTGGATTTTAGTTATGCAATAAATATATTTTGTAAAAACCAAAATACTTGTGTTTAAAATGTGTCACATTTTAATTAGATTCAGCCCCTCCAATGAAATGCTCAATTTCTGAATGCATCTGGCTTTTAACCTTTCAGAAGCTTTAAATGCAAAACAGTCGTTGGTTAAACACACTCCAGCCGAACAGAGAGCCGCACTCTGCACACATGTAAGAAGGAAAATTTCACGATGAAGCCTAACCTCCTGTCTCTGGAGCGAGAGCGGCTCCGGCGGCGACTGGACCTCCGACTGCGGCTACTTCTCACTCTGCTGCCAGAGGAAGAGGACGAAGAAGAAGAAGAGGAAGAAGAGCGGCGACGCTGTTTCTTCTTTCTCTTGCTTCGGCTGTCATCATCACTGTCGGACGAGCGCCTACCCATGATGGCGGTCAGTCAGCTGGCAAAACATACACAAGAGTGGGGTTGCTCCTTTTGACATCTCTCAGACAACCCTTCGAGACAGTTAGCTGGAATATCAGTGGGAACCGACCTATTTATTTACTCCTCACGTGTATAAAACAACGTTTTTACTACTCTGACCACTGTACCATAAGCTCATTTAACGACTATTAAAGCACAGCCACCTACATACAGTAGTATTTAACTTATTAAATCACCACCGACTGCTAAAAGGTAAAGTACCGTTGCCGCAAGCAGCTAATAAATGTTTGTTTTTGTGCAGAGGCTAGCTACTAAGCTAACGGTGCTAACTTAACCAGCTTGGGACCGCGGTTCTTGTTCTAAATAAAGGTCCCGGATGTGCAATAGTAAACGTATCACATCTACTAATATGTCTTCTATTAAAAATAAGTGTATCCCTATAAAAATTAAAAGGAGAGTCCCGCTTCTCACCTTTAAATGGCACTGCCTCTCAACAACAGCCATGCACTGTTTGGGAGACTCTGCTTGTCAAACCGGAAAGCATCGATCAAGGAATTAGAATCAAACACAGAGCAATCGATCGAAGGACCCCCTTTTTTTTTACCATAGCTTTACGGATTTTGCCTCTATTATGTTTCATTAACTAAACAACACTTATTTAATAATTCGGCATACATAGTTTGTCGTTGTTGTTGTTGCTGCAACGTTAGATATTGTGTTAAACAGTTTTAAAGTATTTTTGTATAACACTACTACATAAACAAAGTCGCTTGAATCGCCTTAATTAAACGAGATAGAGTTAGACAATTACATTTCCATAATAGCATGACTATTATGACGATTTGGGGGATGGTAAAAGCTCTTTAAAAACGAGCATTTCTAAATGGAGATTATTTAATGTAGTATTTTAATGAGGGACTAAGCTTCATTTGTATTTTTTTTCTCTCGATGGTGTATTTTCTGTGCAGTTTTTAAAATAGCATCCAGTCGATGAAAAATGATGACTACAAATGTATTGCAAGTGTATGTCTGCCAACAGCACGAGCTACTTATATTTCGTTTTAATCGGACAAAATACTCACTCACAATGCGCCCAAATAAACGAGTGGATGTGTGTCAGTGATTGTTTGCATGAGATCATCTTCTCAGATATTAATCTTTTTCACAAACAAGGCCAGGCAGAGGATCCAAACAACATTAAGTGAATAACTGCTTCCTGACATTTAAAAACAGAAGAAAGGACAACATTATATCGACTGATACATTGCTAATGTGCACAGGAATGGCAGATAAGAGAGCATTAAATGGGGCAGTTTCAGTGCAAATAGACACAGGAGGCAACTCAACGCTACAGGAGGAATCCTCCCGCTTTCTGATGCAGTAGAAATAATAGTATAATTAATGCCTAAGGTTTAAGCAGAAACTTCATTAATATTTAATGAGGAGAACTGTAAAGAGGCCTTGTGTGGAAATGAGGCTTTTTATAGATTATCAATAAACGTGCTTAATTTTACATCAAATTCATTTCGACTTTTTTTAAAAAATCCCGCTATATCCAGTTTCTTCTCTGGCTACACGTCCCCTCCTCTTCTGGCTTAATTGCCATCTCTTCGCTGCACTCGCTATATACCTACCTGAACACGCAAGTGAACCATTGTTTATTTTTTTATTTTTTGCAAATAATCGTTTCAGCTGGAGGGGGAGAAAAAACGAGTTGAAAGCGTTAATTAGTGAGCCCAATGGCAACGCATCGCAAGAGGCACTATAATTAAACGTTTAGCTGCTTAAACATCCTAATGACTTAAAAACCCCACTGAGGATTAATATGAAGCGATGTGGCGTATCTAATGATGACGTTGCAAAACACAAGAATTAGTGATCAGAGACACAAACGGGGTGGTCTAAAAAAATATTGATTAAGTTGTCCAAAAAATACATCCGATAATAATACTAATAATAATAATACTTTACCATACAATATTTTTATCCAATTTTATTATTATTTTTAAACCGTGAAAATCCACTTTCAAATTAAAAGCGCAATAAAATAAATAAATAGAGCAGGCCTGAAGCGAACTATGTACAACTGTGGGTTAAAGCCAAATGTGTTCGCTTGAACTTGATTTGAAGCTCCGTGTATAAGTTGGTGCTGCACCTCTCGGCATCCCAGCTGGTCCCAGCTTTCACCGCTTTCTCTCTCCGTGTCAGCGTTGCGTCTTTTTTGTTATTATTTTTTCCCCTCCGCAGATCACAGAGATATAGCGAGGAAGGACTCCTCATCCATGTGCTTCCCTCTCTCTTGTCATTTTCTGATTTTTTTTAAGCCACACCCCTGCAGAAAGAGAGAGAGAGAGCGAGAGAGACGGGAGAGAGAGCGAGAGAGAGAGATCCGTGACCATCTCCCGGGTGTTTAAAAAACTAACTCAGGACAATAGCAGCGAATGAGCGCTTAATTAAATTAATTAGTCCTTCTTGTCAATCTCGGATTAATGGCCAATAGCGGTGGTGCTGCTTAATGTTTTTACTCCGCTTCTCTCTCTCTCTCTCTCTCGCTCCAGTATCAGT